TTCTAATACACATGGTATCTTTGCCTCTTTCACTCAACTATATTTATAACTGCAATACTCCGATTCCTATCTTAGGATGAAATTATAAATATGATTAATACATAATTATTATTTTATAATATTAAATTTTTTAATATCGAGAAATCACGTTAGATTTACATTAATTTAAAATCAAATTAGATCAGGTCTCGTAAGTAAATCTCTTTCAACACTTGTCTCTTTATTTATAAGACTTATGATTTGTTTGGTATAGTAATTTAGAAGTAATTGTTAGCGGATTTACTCAAATCGTTAAAAATAAGTGTTTGATAAATTTATTCATTTTGAAATAATTATAAACTAAATATTAAGTATAACTTTTTACTTAGCAATTTGGGATTGGCAATAAGGGTGGTAACAATGCCTTGTAGGGTTGAAGAGCCCCTTCCCATTCCTCTCTCAACAAATGGTAGGGATGAGAATTCCCATGAGAATTTTTTATGAGGGACAGATTTTGTCCCTTATTCTTTGTCAATTTATATTAAAATATGAATTTTTTCACTTATAATCAATTAATATTCAATTATAATGAACAAAATTTTAAAAGTTAAAATAACAATTAACTAAAGTTTTCTAAATATAAAATCAAATATAAATTGTCCAAATATAAATAAAGATAAATCCAACATAAATAACCAATTAATGGACATATTCATTGTACAACAATAATAACATCTAGATTCTACCTCTATGTAAGAATACAATTAGTTGTAACCAAATAGGTTATAAAATCAAATATAAATTATCCAAATATAAATAAAGATAAATCCAAAATAAATAACTAAATTAATAGACTTATTTATTGTACAGCAATAATAACAATTAAATTCTACGTCTATTGTAAGAACACAATTAGTTATAACCAGCAAGGTTAATGGATAAATAGTAAAATTAAATATAAATTATCTAAATATAAATAAATATCAATCCAACATGAATAATTGAGTTGGGTTTGAAATATATTGATTTATTAATTTAAATTAAATTTAAAATAAAATTAATTTATATGTTTTTTAAATTTTTTGTGGGATGGGATCCACTATGAGGTTGGGAAAATTTATTGTCTAAATTCATAGGGGAAAAATACCCTTCGTCCCCACCTCACCCGTATGGCAGGAATCCTTGTAGGCTTTGTAGGGTTGAGGAAAATTGTTATTTCTAACTAACGGATAATGATTAGAATTTAAATCACTAGAAAATCAAAAAAATTATTATTTGTTATTTGTTAATAAATAAAATCTACTAGAATTTAAATCTACTATTTATTATTTGTTTACCGCTTTTTACTGTTTATCATTCGCTTCTCATTACCATGATTTACAATATGTTATCCGTTATTCGTTAAATTTTAACTACTAATTAAAGTAAATAAGTTCTTAAACTCGAGATCTTTTTTCACTCAAATTAATAAGCCATTAATAATATATAATTGTCATAACTAACGATTACCGACAATATAAATTTAAATTTTTAAAAATACACAAATTTTAACTCAGAAATTATTGAGTTAGTGTGGGCCTTTGTGCTGAATCGTTACCAATAAGGCGATGTA